CTGATGGGTTCAGACTGCTGGGGAGATGAGAAGCTTATGAAGCTCTTGTTGTTGTTATGTGCTGTCGATTCTCCTGCGACTCATAGCGACCCTATCTATGTACAACAGCCCTAAACTTGGCTCTGTCCTGTGTCAATCTCACTGTCTCCAACACACCCACCCCCATTACCCCAGCCACTGAGTCAATCCACCTCCTAGAGGATCTTCCTCTCTTGTGCTATCCCTCCACCCTCCCAAATATGATGTCCCTCTCCAAGGACTGGTCCCTCCTTGCAACATGTCCAAAGTATGTCAGATGAAGCCCCAGAATCCTTGCCTCCAAGAAGGAGCCCGGTCTCACCCTCTCCAGGATGAACCTGTTTGTTCTCCTAGAAGTCCATGGTATATTCAACACTCTTCTCCAGCACCACAGCTCAAAGGCATCAATTCTCCTTCTATCATCCCTAGTCGTTGTCCAGCTCTCTGATGCATAGTAAGTGATTGCAAAGACCATGGCCTGGATCAGGTGCACCTTAGTCTCCAGGCTGACATCATTGTTCTTTAGTGCTTTAGAGAGGTCTCTGATAGCAGACTTTCCCAATGTAATTAATCTTTTAATTTCCCTGGCTGCTGGTACCAAGAGTGTTGGACTGTGGAGACAAGCAAACTGAAGCTGTCAACAATCTCAATCTCTTCATCATCCATCCTGATGCTGTCAATCAGCTACTTAGACATATTTTTTTTATTTTATTGGGAAAAACATAATGGGGTACAAGGAGGTGAGGGTTGGGGGCAGAAGGGTGAGGATGGGCAGGGATGCGGTTGCAGAGCTGCACAATTTGGTTGGTGGGGGGAGCAGGTGAAGGAAATGAAAAGGATCGAGTGGGGACCAGATGCTACAGAGGAATGGTGAGCATTTTGCAATGGCAATTAAACCAGCTGTCTTATTGATTTGGGAACTGGATGCAGACTCTCTGGCTTCTTCATGCTGAACAGGGGCGTTGATGTGAAGGGGGAAAGGGAGGACACTTTATCACCTTACTAGTGGTCTTGGGTTAAAGTTGCTTGTCTTCTTGTTCTGTTAGAAGATATTTTCCTGTCATTTGCTCCCCTCTGAACTGCAAAGTGTTTTCCCAGGTGGGTCCAATGGGGATGGCTGGTTAAACCCAGAGGCTCCATCCTCCTTTGCTTCCTTAGCTGGCAGTTGTATTTTCTTTTTGTCACTGGCACTGGGTTCAGGGTCAATTCTGAAGTAAAACTCAGTGTTAAGGTTACCTACAGGAAAGGGAGCAAACCTAGAGAGAACGAACTTGTGAGTTACAAATAGAAGGGCTTTGGGGGTGTTGCTTTCAGGTTTACTGGGGGAGAGGGTGACAGAAAGTAGCCTAGATAAAATTCTCTGGATACCCTAGGCATTTTCCCCCCCATCCAAGGGTCAGATGGCACAGTCTGGGGCCTGAGGAGCTCACCCTGAGGGCCATGACGGCTCGCCCCGAGCTGAGGGCTGAAGACAGCCTGCCCCCTGGGCAGAGGGCTGTGATGGCCCGCCCGGAGCCGAGAGCCCAAGAAAGCCACTTAGACATGAGTAAATGAACTCCCAATTGATGCTGACCCTCAAAAGGATTCCCTGCTCGATCCTGTGCCATCCTCACAGGTTTCTGTGCTCCAGTCACTGTGTCAACCCACCTTCTTGAGGGGCTTCCTCTCTTCCACGGACCCTCCGCTCTACCAAGCACGATGTCCTTCTCGAAGAACTCGCCACTTCTTGATGGTATACACAGAGAATGTGAGGTGAAGGAGATCTCTCTCTCTCTCTCTCTCTCTCTCTCTCTCTCTCTCTCTCTCCAAGGAGCGCTCCAGCTGCATTTCCTCCCAGACAGATTTGTTTGTTCTTTTAGCAGACCACGGTATATTAAATATTCTTCACTAACGCTGTAATCGAAACACATCCTTTCTCCTTCAGTCTTCCTTATTCGTGGTCCAACTCTCACATGCACGTGAAGCCACTGAATGACCACGGCTCCGGCTCTGGGCAGGTGCATCTTCCCCTTTGAAGTCTCCGGTTTGCTCTGTGGCTCTTTAAAGAGGTCCTTGATGATGCACACCCATGTGCATCGCGGCTTTGTTCACAACAGCAAAGAGTTGGAAACAACCCGAGTGCCCATCAACAAACGAATGGATAGAGACGCTGTGGTATATTCACACAATGGAATACTATGCTGCATTGAAAAACAAGGAACTCGTGAAATATTATACAAAATGCCCTGGAGAGCATTAACGCCCTGGAGGACGTTATGCTGAGTGAAATATCTCAGTCACAAAAGGACAAATACTGCATAGTGCCACTGTTGTAAAATGGGACTAACATCGGGGTTGGGAGGAGACTGAGAAAGATGGATTAAATTATGATTATTACATGGAAATAGATGAGGGAGAGAACTGTTTAAAAGGGATATGTGATTAGGTATTATTGTCATGACAGGAGTCCAGAATGAAGGTTGCATAGTGGAGTGGACTGGAGGGAAGGGATTGTATAACAATGGGGGAACTTTTCTTTTACTTTCTAAAGAGAGGAACAAACTGGGTGAGCAGGGAGAAAAGTGCAACAATGAATGAATGAAAAAGGTTTTTTTAGATTTTATTTAATAATTTTAATGAACATTTACAGAGATTTTGGATTTCCATTCATTCACTGTTGCACTTTTCTCGCTGCCCAGCCCTCCCCCAAATGAATGAAAAATTTTTAAAAAATTAAGTGCAACAATGAATGAAGGGAAATCCAAAATCTCTGTAAATGTTCATTAAAAGTAATACAATAAAATTTTTAAAAAGAAAAAATTAAGGGGAAAAAAGAGGTCTTTGATAGCAGATTTGCATCCAACTTACAGCACGTCACTGAATCTTGAACGTTACTTTCAAGGGTGTTGATTATGGACCCTAGCGCTGGCTGTGTCCTAAGGCGTTGGAACCAACTTGGTAGAAAAAAAACCCCAAACACCAAAACTCGCCCAGCAACTCTTTGTGGCTGAGACATTGCTGGGTGTTCCGGCATGTTGAACAGTGCCCTTGGTCGCTTCCCACTGCTCCGCCTTCCTGTCAGTTCAGACTTCCAGAGACCCTCTAGTGAATTTTTGAGGCTATAAATTGAAATGGGAAGAGATTACTCCCTGCCCCTCTCTCTCTCTTTCTCAGCACCACTGGGAGATTTGAACTCTCAAAGAGACACAGCCTTGGGGCGTAGCAACACAGCTACCTAGGAGCCACACCAACCTCCCTAACTCACTGGGTGCTATGAATATTTTTTAAAATACTACTTTACTTTGTTGTTGTTGTTGTTGTTGTTGTTGTTGTTATGTGCCATCAAGTTGCCTGCGACTCATAGTGACCCTATGTACAACAGCCCTAAACCCTGCTCTGTCCTGTGTCAATTTTATTGTCTCTGACACACCTACCCCCATTACCCCAGTTAGTGAATCAATCCATCTCATCGAGGGTCTTCCTCTCCTGCGCTGTCCCTCCACCCTCTCAAGCATGACGTCCCTCTCCAAGGACCAGTCCCTCCTTGCAACATGTCCAAAGTATGTCAGACGAAGCTTCAGAATCCTTGCCTCCAAGGAGCAGCCTGGTTTAACCCTCTCCAGGATGAACCTGTTCGTTTTCTTAGCAGTCCGTGGTATATTCAATACTCTTCTCCAGCACCACAGCTCAAAGGCATCAATTCTCCTTCTATCCTCCTTAGTCATTGTCCAGCTTCCTGATGCATAACAAGTGATTGCAAAGACCATGGACTGTATCGAATGCACCTTAGTCTTCAGACTGACATCGTTGCTCTTCAGCACTCTGGAGAGGTTCATGACAGCAGATTTTCCCCAATGCGATTCATCTTTTAACTTCCTGACTGCTGGTATTAAGAGTGTGGATTGTGGAGCCTCCAGTTAGGACAGACAAAACCATCTGTGGACATTCCCAATGCTCCCTGAGGGGAAAGACAGACTAATAAGGGGTGGGAGTGGGCGAGTGGGTCATTATTTTTATTATTTTCAATTAAAGTTTCCTTCCTAATCAGATCAATATACGCCCATGGCTTTAAAAAAATAATAATCAAATGGTACACATGGGGTTATACTGAAGATAATGCCATCCATCCCACTCTGTTCCTTATTGGAAAAGCTTTTCAACACTTGTAGCTCTTTCTCTCTTCCGTATGATTATATCTCTAAATAATAATTATCTTCTGCACGTGGCAGCATTCTACATTGCCTATAGATTTTCCTTTTGAGATAAAAAATTTAACCCACTCTTTCCCTCTCCTTCTTCTCCTTTCATTTTTTAGTTGCTTTCTCCATGAGCTCTGGTGGGCTTGTGGGGAAGGCGTTGAGCTGCCAACCCAAAGGCAGGCTGTTTGAATCCACCAGATGGATGTTCTGAGAGAGAGAGATGGGCAATCTCCTCCCGCCTGATTTACAACTTCTGAAAACCTGCTGGAGGGTCAGCTACGAGTCAGTTCCAACTCAGTGGTATTTACAACTCAGTGCACTAGTTACAGTCTCAGAGACCCATTGGAGGGTCAGCTGTGAGGCGGGACTAACCAGCAATGAGTGTGAGTTTTCCTGCAAACTAGAGTCGTCTTCTCAGCCCGCCTCACTCCTCCAGGCTTTTGATTTCCCCAAGTGGCTTTCTCACCATCAACCTCCTTCCATCTCCCAAGCGTACGATGGGTCCTCTATTCATGCCTCAGAGTCAAGTAAACACCTCTTCCTCCAGGAAGCCTTCCCTGACTCAACATAGCACTCGGGGCACATCTGGGCTTGCACAATGTTAGGACATCTGTTACACACTTATGGTAGGGTCAACGCCAACACCCACTGCTCCGTGTGTGTCAGAGAAGACTTGTGCTCCATCAAACGGCCCAGAGGTGGCAAGTTTGAAACTTTTTTATTATTATGACTTGAGTGAAGGTCTACAGAGCAAACGAGCTCTCCGCTCATCAATGCGTTTGCACTTTGTTTCACAGGACTCACTGTGGTGGGTCTCCTCGATGTAATGGTCCTCTTCTCCTTTCCTCTCTACGTTGATGGTTTTCATTTTTGCTTCCTTGTCCCCCTCTCCCTTTGCTGCCTTCCAAGAGAGCCTCATCCCCGAGCAAATGCTGCCCTTTTGATCTCGCGTGGCTGGCTGGGGGAAGGAGTGTGTTTCCTGCTGGTGATACTGTTCCTCCGGTTGGCGTGTCTATTGTTAGGCTGAAGGTTGAGTCACACCCGGGTGAGGAGAGGGTAGGTTCAGCTCTCCCGGCTTGCAGAGTGACTAAGGCCTGTCGTTTCCGGCTTTCACCGGCTTCCATCCAACCAGGGAACCTGCTCTGTCCTTTTTTTTGCCATTTGGAGGGCTGTATTTCCACCTTTTCTCCTGCTTGGTGCACAACCCCCTGTTGGGATCTCTTCCAACGTGGGCAGCACTGGTAGCTGGACACCATCCAGGCCTTCTGGCCTCGGGATCATGGAGACTGGGGTCCGTGTGGTCTGTTAGTCCTCAGAACTCATCGTCTGCAAAACAACTGTGAGATGTCATCTCACCCCAGTCAGAATAGCAAAATTTAACAGAACAGCAAACAAATGCTGGCGAGGGTGTGGAGAAACTGGAACCCTTATTCACCGTTGGTGGGAATGTAAAATGGTGCAACGACTGTGGAAGGCTGTATAGCGCTGTCTCAAAAAGTTGTATGTAAAAATAATATTTGAGCCAGCAATTCCACTACTAGGAGTATACCCCAAAGAGACCATAACTGACATCCAAGCAGATATATGCACACCCATGTTTATCACGGCTTTGTTCACAATAGCAAAGAGTTAGAAACAACCCAACTCCCCATCAACAAACAAATGGATAGAGAAGCTGTGGTATAGTCACACAATGGAATACTATGCAGCACTGAAAAGCAAGGAACTCATGCAATATTATTCAAAATGGGTAATCCTGGAGGACATTATGCTGAGTGAAATATCTCAGTCACAAAAGGACAGATACTGCATAGTGCCACTGTTGTAAAACAGGACTGACATAGGGGTTGGGGGGAGACTGAGAAAGATGGGATAAATTATGTATACTGCACTGAAACAGATGAGGGAGAGAACTGTTTAAAAGGGATATATGATTAGGTATTATTGTCATGACACGAGTCCAGAACAAAGGCTGCACAGTGGAGTAGACTTGGGGAGAGGGATTGTATAACAATGAAAGAATTTTTCTTTTACTTTTCAAAGAGAAGAACGAACTGGAAGGGAGGAGGTGGGCAGGGAGAAAAATGCAACAATGAATGAATGAAAATCCAAAAGCTCTGTAAATTTTCATTAATAATAATAATAATAATAATAATAAAAATAAAAATAAAAATAATAAATGAGTATCAGGATCCAGGAGGGGTGGGAAAGCCCGGAAGCAGAGGGGTGAGGATGTGCAGGGGGAGGGGGGCATTCATCACCGGGTTGTACAATTTGATGGGGCGGTGGGGGGAGGGAAATGGAAAGAATTTGTTTGAATTTGTACTCGAGCTTTGTAAATAAACCAGTAGGAAAATTTAAAAAATATGTAAAACTGAAGAAAAAAAAAAAAGCTCGCTTCACAGATGCTGAATAAGTGAATGAATGAATGAAGGGATACTGAATGATTGAATGCATAGACAGATGAATGAATGAATGAGAAGAATTGAAGAATGAGTGGTACATACTGCAGGGTCCCTATCCTCTTGCGGGGGGGGGGGAACCCCAAAGGCTCACTTCATTGTTGCCAAATGAATGAATGAGTGGAGAGCTGGATATATACTGCTAGGTCCTTAACCACTGATGGCAGCGACAGAAGGTCTCAGTCCACCGGTGCTGAGCGGTGAAGGCAGAGGTGGACAGGGGGAGCCAGGGGAAGGAGGGACATGTCCTGCAGGGCCACCCCTCGTCCCTGGCCAACCCCTCCCTCCCCCTCAAGCCCAGGCACTGGTTTCCTCACAGGTGTTGGAGTGTTTCTTGTCAACAACAGCTGGGCCCTTTGTGTTTTCTCAAGAGGAGCCGAGTGGCTGGGCCAGGAAGAGGGGGGCCTCGCTTCCAGCGCGTCCTCATTCAGGGTGAAGTGGAAAGATTCCAGCGCCAGAGTGGAGTCAGGTGGCCCGGGTTCCAGGCTCCCGCCTCTCTCCTTCTGTCTGCAAAGGGATTGGGTTACTATGACCACTGACCCTCTTGGCAGTGGGTGTCCCAAGACTGTCATTAAAAAACACATACCTGACAGTTTGTTTGTTTGTTTAGTTTTGGGGGCTGCTCACGTTAAGGTCGGAGGAGGTTCCAGTCTACCAGTTGCTCCGCAGGAGAAAGGCAAGCAGTCTCCCCCCTGTTGAGAGTTCCATCCCCACACCTGAGAGAGAGTCATCATGGGCCAGAGATGACTAGACAACAACGGAACCCAGGATTTTAGGTGACACGATGGATTGGTTGCTTCATAACCAAAAAGTCAGTGGTTTGAATCCACCAGCTGTTTGTTGTGGTTTTGGGGTGTTTTTTTTGTGGGTTTTTTTTTAAAGATACAGCCGTCTGCTTCTGTTCAAGATTTACAGAATCAGAGACCCCAGGGGGTGGTTCTGCTGTATCAGAAGCTCACTCTGTGTTAGTCTTCTCAATTACTTCCTAAACAGCTGAAAGTTGGATAGTGCATGAGGATGGCCGAAGAAGAAGTGATGCCTTTGAGCTGTGCTGTTGGACAATAGTACCGAATAGCCCATGGATGGCCGAACGAACAAACAACTCTGTCCTGGAGGAATTGCAACCAGAATGCTCCTAAGAGGCGAGGATTGTGAAACTTCATCTCACATCCTTTGGACATGCTGTCCAGAGGGGTCAGTCCTTGGGAAAAGGCATCACGCTGGCAAAGGGGGAGGGTCAGAGAGAGAAAGGAAGATTCTCAACGAGATGGATTGACTCAGTGACTTTAACCCTGGACAACAGTATGTCAGAGACGATGAAGATTACACCAGCACAGGGCAAGGTGGGCTCTGAGTCAAACTGACTCGATGGCACCCGGCAACAACAGCCTGTGTTAGCATTGACTCACGGGCCGTGGGTTTTGATGAGACACTTGCGATTGATGCCTTCTGAAGTTTCCTGAAGACAGGAATTTTTGAAGAGGGGGACACATCTATAGCTTTTCTCTGAGTCTCAAAACTAAAAACTGCAGCTCAGTGCTGCCCAAATCCATTCCAAACCAAGGTAGGTCATCGCACTACGAGAAGAGTAGATCCGTCTCCTCTTTGGAGTGTGCTTGGCTCTGACCCTCTCTCTGTGGGTCAAAGAGAGATCAGCTGCTCCCACCAAGATGAAAGCAGTAAAATGTAACTCCCTCCACGCAGCTCCAGCTCTCCAGCTCGCAGCAACCCCGCTGGGCAGCAGAATGGCCCCATGAAGTTGCCAAGTCATTGTGGAGTTGAACCGCCCCACTGTCCTGTATTCAGTGTCTGGTGGGCTCGAACTTCCAAGTTCATGGCTGCTAACAAAGCCATTGAGCTCTGGTGGCAGAGTCCGTAAGGACGTGTGCTGCTAACCCTCAGACAATGACTCTCTGGTGGCTCCAATCCACCAACTGCTCCGTGGGACAGTCCAAAGATGGGCAACCTCTGCTCATAGGATTTACAGCCTCTGGAGGGTCAGCTGGGAGTCGGTTCTGACTGGTTGGGAGAGAG